TTACATCTTCATTACTCGTTACCCACTGGCAGTTTATGTGGAGGTATGAATTTGTATGTCCTTCCCTGGTGGCTCAGTGGTAAAGAATCTGCCTGCCAATGCAGGAGAGGCAGGTTCAATGCCTGGGTTGGGAAGATCTCCTGGAGAAGGATATGGCAACCGACTCCAGTATTCTTGCCTGGGAAATCCCATGGACAGAGGAGCCTGGCGGGCTAGCGTCCATGGGGTCATAGAAGAATTGAACACAACTTAGCGACCAAACAACAAATAAATATCAAAGGCTATCTAGAAATACATTAGTGTGGTGGCTGTTGAGGTTGGGAAAATGCAGGGATCATGGTGACATCATGAATAGAATAATAGGATTAGCTCAATTCTTTATCACTAAGGCCTGGAAAAAAATTAATAAAAAAGTAGCAACATCAGATATTTTACAGGACAGAAATTCATCTCCTTTTTTAACTGACAGAGGCCTGAGTTCACCTGGAAGTGCCTAAATCAAAGTCCACAAGTGATACCTTTGGAAGCAAGGAGAGAGAATTTCAGAGAGAGAATGGTGTCCAGCGGGGGCTTGTTCTTCTGCAGATACCTCTAATCTTTCGAGCACAGCTCACAGAGGGCTCTTTCCTTCTTCCTGCTCTGCCCTTGGCATTTCTTACACAGTTTTTCCTTGAGGAGTATAGCCATACTGCCTTCCTCAGAAAGCCTACTGGCCTGGAAATGGGCTCCAAGCGAAGAAAATGAAGGCACCATTTGGGAACATGATTTGGCCAAGGGAGGTGTTATGAGCTGAATCATGTCCAAAATTTCTGTGTTGAAGTCCTAGCTCTCAGTACCTCAGAACATGACTATATTTGGAGATAGGGCCTTTTTAAAGAGGTAATTTATTATTTTATCTTTTTTTTTTTCGGTGTGCACATGGGGTTTTTTTTTCTAGTTACGGCACATTGGCCTGACGCAGCACAAGGCCTCCAGGGCACATGGGCTCAGTAGTGTGGCACAGAGGCTTAGTTGCTCTGAGGCATGGGGAATCTTTGTTCCCTGACCAGGGATTGAACCTGCATCCGCTGCATTGGAAGGCAGATTCTTAACTATTGGACCACCAGGGAAGTTTCTAAAGAGGTAATTTAAATGAGGCCATTAGAGTGGGCCCTAATCCAATTTGACTGGTGTCTATATAGGAAAAGGAAATCTGGACACCCAGAAAGACACAGGATGAGGTGGGGGGAAGGGGTGGGGAGCACATTCATGTGAGGACACAGCAAGAAGCCAGCTGTCTGCAAGCCAAGGACACAGGCCTCAGAAGACACCTGCTGACACCTTGATCTTGGACTACCAGCCTCCAGAAGTATGAGAAAATACATTTCTGTCGTTTAAGCCACCCAGATGATTGTCAGCTCTCAATAATTCCTTTACGAGTGCCACAGGCCTGAGTAGATATGTAAATATGTTGAATTCTGTGGGATTTTGTTATGCCAGCCCTATCGAATGAATGCAGTAGAAACTGGCAGAACTGGGATGTAGCCTCACACATTTAAGAACAAGTCTTGGTCTTGGGTTTCCTGCTTAGTGAAGTTATTCTGTAGATCCTAGTGAGCAAAGCTTGGGTCACATTTTCCTAATTAAGATGCCACTGTCTCTGAGGGGTTGGGAGAGCTGACTGTGGTGGGTCTCTGGCGAGAGCAGGAGGAATTGTATAAGCTCACCCAGTCCCATTCCCCTACTCCAGGCAGATACAAGAGACTCGGGTTTGATCCCTGGGTTGGGAAGCTTCCCCTGGAGGAGGGCATGGCAACCCACTCCAGTATTCTTGCCTGGAGAATCCCATGGACAGAGGAGCCTGGTAGGCCACGGTCCACGGTGTCCCAAAGAGTCAGACATGACTGAAGCAACTTAGCATGTATACACTGCTCCCGGGCAACTCCCTACACTGGTGTTACCTTGCTGGTCCACGACAAACCAAGCCAAGTCCTATAGGACTGAGGGCTGTCTGGGCCTGTCTGGGTCTTATGTATTTGTTTGCTTGGCTGGCCCAGTTCAAACACCTGTTGAAGAAGATAGCTTATCTTTGTTCAAGGGGTTTGCCTGCTTCCCATGCCCATTCAAGGCACCATGGCTGGAATCCAGCCAGACAGTCCTGGGGTTTTAAATGTTACATCAACCACTGACATAGTATGAGATCTTAGTTGAACTACTTCATGCTCAAGCCTCGGTCTGCCCAACCATAAAGTGGGAGAATAATTTTGATTCCATGGGGCTGTGGAGAGGAACAAACGAAATAAAAATAGAAAAGGCCTAGGGTGGGCATTAAAAAAAGTTAATTTTCTTCCTTTTACTCAGATCTCATCTGGGCAGTTTGTGCCTTTCACTCATTCATTTAATTTGTTTATTGAATGCCAGCTTCCCTGGTGGCTCAGATGGTAAAGCATCTGTTTGCAATGCTGGAGACCCGGGTTCAATCCCAGGGTCGGGAAGATCCCCTGGAGAAGGAAATGGCAACCCACTCCAGTACTCTTGCCTGGAAAATCCCATGGACAGAGGAGCCTGGTAGGCTACAGTCCATGGGGTTGCAGAGAGCTGGACACGACTGAGCGACTTTACTTACTTACTTAACTGAAGGCTGTGCTTAGGCAACATGGTGGCCCAGATATCCCTGCCTTTATGAAACATACACGCTCGTGGGTAAAAGGCAAAGTGAAATCAGGTGTTAGGGAAGTTTGGCATCATGTTTTTTCAGCCTTGCTCTTTGATGTCTTGTTGCTTGGCCATGAGGTTAGACATGAACTCAGTGCTCAAGGGGAATTCTCTGAACCAACCTTGAGAAAAAGACGGTGGTGACTCACGAGAGGTTAGTTTCCGGCATCAGCAAATGAAGGGCCGGGGAAGAGTTAAGGGAATCAAGCAGCTGTCATAACAATCATCATCATTTTCTGTTTATGTGGGGACTCTTCTCCCCGTGCAAGCTAAGTGCTTTATGCACATTACGCAGTGAATTCTCACAGCTTCCTCATGGGGTGAGGAGGAGGCGGAGGGTTTCAGAGATGAGGAAACAGGCACAGCAAAAAGATAACTGCCTTGCCTGAAGTAACAGCCAGTAGAAAGTGTTAGACCCAGAATTGGGTTGCCCAACTAGGAGGCCATTGGCTAATCCTCTGACCAGCAGGGCAGTGAAGTCAGGGTGTTGTGTGTGACTGTGGGAAGTAGGGCTGGCCAATGTGTCCTGATCCTTCCCAAATACAAGTTATAATTCTACACTCCGTTCTGTGCAGGTGGCTGTGAGCATTACATTTAGGAATATTCCAGTGTTGGTCTCTTCCTTGACCTTTGACACTGTCCTTAGGATAGAAACGTGATGGGACTTTAGAGATAATTCACTCCAATCCCCTTGGACTCCAAATGAGGAAACAGATCCTGAGAGATGAATTGACTCACCCGAGGTCACACAGACAGTAAGCGGCTGAGCTAGATCTAGAGCTCAGCTCACTAGCTCAGGATTCTTTCTTCTCCCCCAGGGAAGTCCCTAGTAATGGCCTTGCTTTCCAACCCTAACCCTCCCGGTCTATATCTGCAGCCGCTCACGACACTCCAGGTTGGTGCCTCCCATCCTCCCACCAGCACACATCTTTGGGATTTCTTTGGGAACAATGCTGGTCCTAAGGGCTGTCTGAGATGCGAGGCACAGGAGGGTGCCTGGAATTTACAGTGAACCCCAGATTCCCTGGTGGCTCCAATGGTAAAGAATCCACCTGCAATGTGGGAGACCCAGGTTCGACCCCTGGGTCGGGAAGATCCCTTGGAGAAGTGAATGGCAACCTACTCCAGTATTCTTGCCTGGAGAATTCCATGGACAAGGGAGCCTTGTGGGGCTATGGTTCATGGGGTCCCAAAGAATCGGACACGACTGAGAAACTAACCCCGGATTCAAGGATGGGCGGCATCGCCGCTCCCACACTCGCCCTTGTCTGCAACATCAGCTCTCTGAATCACCTCTCTCGCTTGAGTGCTGAAAGCACTTAGCACATGTGGGAATATTTTCCGATGAGAGTGACTTCTGTATCACAGATTAACATCTGTGTTAGTAAACTCTTTTACCTACCCTGCTTGCCCCTGTCTTCCACCACGTCGTCACACGACCGATCTCAGAGGCCTCCCCTGGTCAGTCTAGTGCTGGCGTCTTGGGCAAGCAGTCCATGGCCTCCTGCCTCTCATCAGGTGTCTTCTGGAGCCTCCTGGACCAGCCACACAATCTCGCTTCGCTTCTCCTTATGTGGGGCCCACACGTGAAGCCCTCTGATATAGATGTGGGTAGATAGCCAGAGGTGCAAATGATCGACTCTTTATGTTTCTATTTCGATGTTGATTTGGTGGGGTTTTTTTTGTTGTTTGTTTGTTTTTCAACTTTTTTCTCTCTTGGGTCCGGGGAGCAGGGGTCTTTGACTTGGTAGCCTCCCTGGACCATTTCTTGGTGTGATCACACAGGTCTCACAAACCCTGCTGCTGCTGGGGTGACACTGTTGGAAAATTCTCCCCATTTCTTCTGGAGTGCAGCTGGCCTGATCCTCTCCATCCCTTAGGGGCTTGCTGTGAAGACAGTACAGCTCTGGTTTACAGAAAGGCAGGAGGGGAGGCGGGAAAGATCCCGATTCAGTGGGGGTAAGAAATTGCCAATTGTGCTGATGAAATGAGTCCCCCGTGGCCAGAAGGTGACACTGTCTTAGACACAGCATTGATGGGAGGCCTCTCCATGGAAATGAAGCTGAGCTGTCTGCGTAATGAGAAGGTGCTGGCTTTCAGGGCCTGGGCTCTGGAGGAAGGACTCGCTTAGCCAGCCCTTCCCAGGCGTGAGAACTCGGCTTTTGTGCCTGCTGAGTCTGTGTGCTGCCTGCCCTCTTGGGGGTTATCTAGTGCCTCTCTTCCTTGGCTGATGCTCCAAGCACTTTACATTTATCTCAGTTATCTGCACACTCTGAGGAGTGGGGAAGAGACATATATTATTAGTGTCATTTTACGGATAAACTGGGACACAGAGCAGGTGTGGCACACAGGTGGAGCTGAGGCTGAGCACACACATCTGACCCTGGCTCGCAGGACACACTGTGCCCTGTCCTGTCCACGTCGTCCCCTAAGCCCAAACAAAGAGAAAAAAACAGCTTTAGAGGAAAAACAGTGTTAGCCCTTTCAGTTCAGTTCAGTTCAGTCCAGTCGCTCAGTTGTGTCTGACTCTTAGCGACCCCATGGACTGCAGCACGCCAGGCTTGCCTGCCTATCACCAACTCGCAGAGCTTACTCAAACTCATGTCCTCACATTGGTGATGCTATCCAATCATTTCATCCTCTGTCGTCCCCTTCTCCCACCTTCAATCTTTCCCAGCATCAGGGTCTTTTCCAATGAGTCAGTTATTCGCATCAGGTGGTCAAAGTATTGGCGGTTCAGCGTCGTCATCAGTCCTTCCAATGAATATTTAGGACTTTTATCTGATGGTAAAACCTAATATAGAGACTGTAAAGAATTTCAAGTGGTCACCAAATTTAGGATATAGGTTCCCCCAAATTTGGGATATAGATTCCTCTGAAAGGGAGGAAGGGGGAGGGACCAATGGTGTCAGGATAGCCAGGGACTTCAGCTGTATTAGTAATGTTTTAGGATTTTTTGGGGGTCGTGAGAACAGGGGTGTTCTGTTTTTCTTTATTTCCTTTGTGCATATCTTAAATATTGCACACTAAATTGAAACCATTCTAACAGTAAAAAAGCATAACATTATTGTTCAGAATGAAGGCGTTTTAACTATTATTTCCAAGGCCTGGGGTATTAAGGGTTGAAAGGATTGTTTAAAGAAACAAAAGGGGGTGGTGGACCGGAACTAGTTTGGCAGAGAAACAACCACGGAATTTATTATCATGAAGTCAAAAATTAAAGCAAACAGTCTAGAAATATTTAATGAGGGCCTACTACGTGCCAGGAACTGGTTTAAGCCCTGAAAAAATGTAACACAGTGCCTGTTCTCAGGGGGTTTTGATTCTAATGGGAAACAAAAGGTAAAATAGGTCAGCACCCAGCAAATACATGAATTAGGCTGAAAATAGAAAGGGGTTTAGAGAGAACATTTTGCAGGGAGAAGACCTCTTGGAGGTAGGGATCCCCGGTGGACCCATCTCTTGGTCCCCAAGAGCTCCTCAGTGATCTTTCACTGCATGGATTTGGGAAACAGCCCAGCTCACTCGGGGGGAATGAGGAGAGGGTGGGGCAGAGCTAGTATGAGCAGCACCAGGGAGGCCTAGAAGCCTAAAACCTGGATGCTGTTTCCACCCTGGGTGTGCCCAGGGCTTGTGCATTATACTCTAATGAAGGGTTGGGCCAATGGTGGTGTGTTTCTTTCTTTCTTTTTTTTTAATGAGGTGCTGTTTTGCATAGATAAATACTATGATTGTGATGTGGGAACCAAAAGGCAGATCATTATGCAAAAAGCACTGGCAGAGGTGAGATTATGAAACCAGTTCTGCTTCAGGCCTGCTGTCTGATCGTGGGAACTAGGAGGTGTCTGATTGTCTGGGCCTCAACCTGGGCCAACTGGATGGAGGCTGCCCTCTCTAGCTCATCTTTTGACTGCTGGGCTGGGAAAACAGGAAGCATACCTCTTCACTTTTTACTGGAGATTCAGAATTCTGGAAATCAGAAGTGGAGGTGGAATGAAGGTGGCTTCCCTGCTGTGGCTCCCAGCTAAATGTATGGCCCACGATTTGTGGGACCAAGGCCCCACCTTTAACGTCTATTGAATTGATTCCTGGTTGTAAAATGAGATTGGGTGCTTTAAGTGACCCTGGTGAGGCTCACAGAGATGCTGGGGCTGGAAGGAGGCAGGAAACAGAGAAAGGAAGGACTTTCTTGGTTGTAAGTTTACAAGCTGACTCCTTAGTTGGGATAGCTGGATCTCAGAAGAGGAGGCGGAGACCTGCCAAGAGATGCCACTTGGACAGCCAGGGAGGGAAAACCCGAGTAGGCCGGAGAGAGACGGAGAAGACAGCTGGGGAAGAGGAACCTGCACTCCAGTTCCCAGGCAGCGGTGTTGCCATGATGCCTCAGGAAAGGAGGCTCTGTAGCTGCAACCGCCTAAAAAGCACCGCGCACAGGGTCTGCTTCAGTGCCTGTCTGCCTGCCTCTTGTCTTGCGGAGACTGAGCCCTGTTGACAGCTTCCATGAGGTCAGATCAAAGAGATAAAGCCAAGGTCACACTGTCCAGGATGGAGACAAAGCTGCCCGCATCCCAGGTATTGGCTGCAGCAAAGGCCATAGTGAGAGTGCCCCCTACAGAGCACATCAGGGAGAGGCAGTCTGGGGGGTGGGGAGCCCGAGGGGTCTAGGAGGTTAACAAAGGGCATCGATTCGTGTACTCAATCAACAGCTCTTTGCTGAGTACTTCCCGAGGGGTCAGTAAGACAAAGATCCCATGTGCATGGAAGTGAAATCAGAATGACCACTTTATGTTACACGTCTGGGGAGCAACGAGATTGTTCCTCCTGGTTTTCCCTGGTTCCTCATACATTGTGACAACATCAGCTCTGAACAGGAAGTGAGGCTTGGTTAATGGTCTTCAGTACAAACAGACCTCCACTTCTATCCTCTATTGGTAGAATAGCAGGAGGCAGGGTGGGAGTTAGGGGTGTTGGCTCCACCCTTCCCAAGGTCTTGGAACTCAGTGGGATGCCTCTAGATGTTACTGAGATGGTTGGGTGATGTGGCAAGGAGTATCATGGTGCAATTCTGTGCCACACTGTTAGTGAACTAAGTGTTCTATCTTTACTATGCATTGAATCCTGGGACTCATTAAGGACTACATTGTCTCAGGACTTCCCAATACATGATACAGTAACATCATGATGCTATATGAAACTCAGAACCCCTACATGCCCGGCTTCTTCAATGAATTGAACTTAAATTGACCTGTAAAACTAACTGTGATCCTTATTCCTAGGGCCCCACAAGAGTGACTTAGTGGAAAATTACAATGTACACATTTCATGTTATCCTAGGAATGGCCTTTGTACCTTATTTCTATTTTGCTCTTACTGCAGGGAATGACTGTAGATTCCTACCACACCACTAGTACCAGTCCTAGAAATGAATTCTAAGGAAATTATTCAACAGAAACCAAAACTTCACATTTGAAGATGTTTACTGCTGCTAAAAATTGGAAACAATTTAGCACAAAGGAGAAATAAAAGATTAGAAGGCTAGTTGAATAAAATGATAGCAGCTCTATAGGTGGTATATTATATATAACTCATGTACATGGTAGTAAAGGAAAAAGATGGGCTTCCCAGGTGGCGCTAGTGGTAAAGAACCTGTCTGCCAATGCAGGAGACATAAGAGACTCGGGTTTGATCCCTGGGTGGGGAAGATTCCCCTGGAGGAGGGCAAGGCGACCCACTCCAGTATTCTTGCCTGGAGAATCCCGTGGACAGAGGAGTATGGCGGGCTATAGTCCATAGGGTCACAAAGAGTTGGACATGACTGAAGTGGCTTAGCATGCAGGCAAAAAAGGAAAAGGTAGACTATAACTAAGCATGTTTTATACATTCTGGTAATCTGTAAAGTATGCATTCATACTGAGGGCTTTTGCAAAAAAAGTTAATTTTGTCAGAATGGTGGGATACAAATGATTTTTATTATTTTATAAACCCAGTGTTAATGTTAGATGTAATTTTAAAGCACTCTAAAGAAAGAAAAAAAATTCCACCTTAGAATATCATAGTAACTCTTCATAATTAGTCATTTCTTCATCACCCTAACCAAAATAATTCCAGGAAAACATCTACTTCTGCATCATTGACTATGCTAAAGCCTTTGACTGTATGGATCACAACAAACTGGAAAATTCTTGAAGAAATGGGAATACCACACCACCTTACCTGCCTCCTGTAAAATCTGCATGCAGGTCAAGAAGCAACAGTTAGAACTAGACATGGAACAACAGATTGGTTCAAAACTGGGAAAGAAGTATGACAAGGCTGTATATCATCACCTGCTTATTTAACTTATATGCAGAGTACCTCATGAAAAATGCTGGGCTGGATAAATCACAGGCTGGAATCAAGATTGCTGGGAGAAATATTAACAACCTAGGATATGCAGATAGTATCACCTTAATGGCAGAAAGTGAAAAGGAACTAAAGAGCCTCTTGATGAAGGTGAAAGAGTAGAGTGAAAAAGCTGGCTTAAAATTCAGCATTCAGAAAACTAAGATCATGGCATCCAGTTCCATCACTTCATGCAAATAGATGGGGAAAACATGGAAACAGTGGCAGATTTTATTTTCTTGGACTCCAAAATCACTGTGGCTGGTGATTGCAGCTGTGAAGTTAAAAAGACTCTTGCTCCTTGGAAGAAAAGCTATGACAAGCCTAGACAGTATATTAAAAAGTAGAGATACCATTTTGCCAACAGAAGTCTTGACAATAGTCAAGGCTATTTTTTCCCCAGTAGTCATGTATGCAGATGTGAGAGTTGGACCATAAAGAAGGCTGAGTGCCGAAGAATTGATGCTTTTAAATTGTGGTGCTGAAGACTGTTGAGGGTCCCTTGGACTGTGAGGAGATCAAACCAGTCAATCTTAAAGGAGGTCAATCCTGAATATTCTTTGGAAGGACTGATGCAGAAACTGAAGCTCCAATACTTTGGCCACCTGATGCAAAGAGCCAACTCATTGGAAAAGACCCTGATGCTGGGAAGGATTGAAGGCAGGAGGAGGAGGGGGTGACAGAGGATGAGATGGTTGGAGGCATCACCAACTCAGTGGACATGAGTCTGAGCAAACTCCAGGAGATGGGGAAGGAAAGGGAAGCCTGGCATGCGGCAGTCCATGGGGTCACAAAGAGTCAGACACGACTTAGTGACTGAACAATATTCAGAAAGCCCAGGGTACCCCAGCCATGCTGATTTCAGGAGAGTTGGAAGTGTAGGGGGCTGAGGTTGGGTTGCAGGCTGTGGAAGGATCTGGCTTAGGCAGCTGTCTCTCCAAGGCCTTGATGTCCCCCTTCGAGTCCTAAGGATGCCAGTGGTGGCTCTTCCTTGTTCACATCCAGTGGGTCTAGAGGCTGGCAGCTACTTTATCACAGAAGACAAAA